TCCTCATTCTTGCCAGAACACCATTCCTGGAACTCCAACCATACGAGCCCAGGAAACTGCTGCGAACGTTTAAGACGAATCTGCGGGGCGCTCAGGCCAGAGCCACATTCTGCAAAGAAATCGCCCTCCATCCTTGAAGCCGATGCGAGCTCTTATGACGCATGCGCGCGGCGCTAAGCCGAGAGCCATATTCTGAAAACCACCCGCTCTCCCTCCTCGAAACCGTTGCACAGATTGAAGACGAGTGTGCGCGGCGCGAGGGCGCGAATCCAACATTTTGGAAACGGGACGCCCTCCATCTTTGAAGCTGTGGCAGATCTGTGAGGCGAGTGCGCGCTGCGCTGATGAGAGAGTCACAGTCTGAGAGCCTCCCGTCCTCCATCCTTGACGCTGTTGCAGAGCTCGAGTGCCGGGATCCCAGACAGCGAGGAGGTGTCCAGCGACACGCCCAGCCCGCCCTGCCGACCCGCCCGGGGGCGTGGCGGCCAGGAGTGGTTTCGAAGGAACAGGGATGGAGGAAAGAGGGAAGTTATTCCAGATTTCGTAATAAAGGGAGGGGGGTCTCATTTCGGGGGGGGGGGGGGGGGCGTCTCTTCCAGGCTATCTTGGAGGGCCTGGGGGGTCGGGGGACGATGTTTTGGAGGGTTCTCCCACGGGGGAGGTCTGAAATGTCTTGTCTTGGAGGGTCCAGACCCCCTCCCTTTTATTACGAAATCTGGAGTATATCAGGAGTGTGGGAGAAGGAGGGATGAGGACCCCTGGCGAGCGATTGCTCCCGACAGGCCATGCACGAGCTGTGCGGGAAGGAGAAGAGCTGGGAGATGCTCGATTGCACCCGCATCAACAACATGTCGAGGAAAAAGCAGGCCTTGGAGGCGCAGAGTTTGATGACCAGGAGGAACAGAATGAGAAAGAGAAGAGATTTAAGGAGAAAGCGCGTGGAGGAAGAAGCGGATGGTGGGAGGGGGTACAAGAGAAGGAGGAGGAAAAGGGGGGAGGAGGAGGAGGAGGAGGAGGAGGAGGAGGAGGAGGAGGAGGACGAGGAGGAGGGAGGGGGAGCGGCGAGAAGGAAGAGATGCACCAGGGGTAAGAAGGACGACATTTTGTCAAGTGAGAACTCGAGGAGGAGGAGGAGGAGGAGGTGATGCAGGACTGCAGCAGCTTGAGGAGGAGGAGGAGGAGGAGGAGGAGAAGCCTGAGGAGGAGATGCTCAGCGGCATGCCTGGAAAGGTGCAGGCCGTTCAGGCAATCTCGCCCGTGAGTGAGTGCACCGTGCGAGTGGCACCTCTTTCTCCTCCTATTCCTTCCCCTCCTCCTCCTCCTCCTCCTCCTCCTCCTCCTCCCTCCTCCCTCCTCCCTCCTCCCTCCTCCTCCTCCTCCTCCCTCCTCCCATCCTCCCTCCTCCCTCCTCCCTCCTCCCTCCTCCTCCTCCTCCTCCTTCTCTGTCCTCCTCCTCCTCCTCCTTCTCCTCCTCCTCCTCCTCCTCCTCCTCCTCCTACGCCTTCGTGCACCGTGAAGACGAAGCGATCCGATGGAGGCTTCGGCGCACTGCGTCCTCTGCGCGCGGGGCGGCTGCCGAGCACGAGTCCGTCCGAGTGCTGCTGCTAGCGTGAGCGAGGAGGAGGAGGAGGAGGAGGAGGAGGAGGAGGGGAGGAGGGAGAGGAGGAGGAGGAGGAGGAGGAGGAGGAGGAGGAGGAGGAGGAGGAGGAGGAGGAGGAGGAGGAGTAGGAGGAGGAGGGGAGGAGGAGGAGGAGGAGGGGGAGGAGGGGAGGAGGAGGAGGAGGAGGAGGAGGAGGAGGGAGGAGGAGAAGCTGGCCTAGTGCAGGCCGATTCGCTCCTGCGGGCGAGGTCTGGTTATAAAGCGAGCCCATGCCGTTCCGGTGCAGCTCGGCCTGCCATGCCCCCGCGGACTCGCAGAGGAGGAGAAGAAGTGGAGGTACGAGAGAAGCATCAGGAGGAGGAGAGCAGGAGAGGGTGCAGGGGGGAGGGCGGACAGAACGATACAAATTTCCCCATACCTTATATACGGATATATATATATATATGTATATATATATATATGTATATATATATACATATATATATATATATATATATATATATCAGAGACAGAGACAGAAACAGAGACAGAAACAGAGACACACAGAGACAGAAACAGAGAGCGAGAGAGAGAGGGGAGAGACAGAGAGATAGAGAGAAAGAGAGAGAGAGAGACAGGGAGAAAGAAATATATACATAGAGAGAGAGAGAGAGAAACGACAAAAAAACAAAACAAAGAGACAGAGGGAGAAAGAGCGACAGAGAAAGAAAACGAGAGGGATCGATATACAGAGACAGAGAGAGAGAGAAAGAGAGAGAGAGAGAGAGAGACACGGAGACAGAGACAGAGAGGGGGAGGGAGGGACGGATGGAGAGAGAAATAGAGAGACAGAGAGAGACAGAGAGAGAGAGAGAGACACTTCCATTGCCATTTTGGCTCAAGGCCATGAGACACCCGACGACCGCGAGTCCTTCGCGGGCGTCCTCCGAGCGCGAGGGGTCTCGCGCTTTGGGCCAAGGTACGACAAAGCATCCGAGCCAGGCTCGGCCGCGGCGCGCGGCCCTCCGGGCGGCAGCAATGGCGCCGCAGGGAGGCGGCGGGGCGCGTGGCAGCGGCGGCGCAGGCGACAGCAAAGGTGGCGGTGGAGCCCGTGGGCCACGCAGCCTGGGCGCTGGATCAGCAGTACGTGCGTCGGGGACGGCGCCCTGGTACTGCAAGTCATGCAGCAAGCCCAACGCCAGCGGCGACCGCACGACGTGCAAGCAGTGCAACTGCTCGAAGGGGACGCACTTCGCTGGGACGCCCAAGGAGACGGTGCCCTCCTTCAGGACGAACGACAGCATCAAGCTTGCGAAAGCGATGGAGGAGCTCATGCTGCTGAAGGCCAAGATGGCGGACCAGAAGCAGCAGCTGGCAGGTGCGGACGCGGCCGTGGACACGGCCCCCCCCTGGCGCGACGGCACGGGCAGTGCTGACAAGCAACGCCTGGAGAAGCAGGTCGAGAAGGACCGCGCGGAGCTGGCGGCGATCGTGGAGCAGAAGCGCGAGCTGGAGGCCAGGGAGGGGGTCCTGCGGCAGGCCACCGCCGAGCGCGACCGCAAGCTCGCGGAGCTCAAAGCGGAGCAGGCGCGCGTCGTGGGCATGGCGCCCACCCCTCCTGGTGGGCCTGGCGCTGACCTTGACGGCCTGGTCGTGGTGGACGGCGTCTCGATCAGCGCGGGCGTCTTGGGGAAAGTGCTGGGCAGTTCCCACGTGGACGAGGCCACGCAGCGCGCCATCAGCAAGCACGTCCTCAAGCTCAAGCAGCAGCGCAGGGACGCCCGCGCTGCGGAGGCGGCGACGGCAACTGCCGAGGCGCGAGGCCGCGCCGAGGGCGCCGCCGCGCCAGGCACCCCCCCACGCCGTGCCGCCTGCTGCCGCAGGGCGCGTGCCTATCCCAGGGGAGGGCGCCCCTGCTGGCGACGATGCCATGGACGGCGTCGGGCTGGAGGTCGACGAGTAGCGCGACATGCTCTGGCCGATGGACCATGCGCCGCCCACGCCCCGGTGCCCTGAGCGCCCTGCTGCTGAGGTGGTGTCTGCAGCCGACAAGCGCTACTGGGACGACGCTGGGATGCTGGCGCCCAAGCGGCAGCGGAAGGCAGCCCGGGGGCATCGTCGACGCCATGCTGATGTTTCCTGAGGACGATGGTGCCTACTACAGCGAGCTGCACGCGGCGGAAGAGCAGGCGGCCCGCGAGATGGGCGGCTTTGGCTTCTGGGACGGCGCCATGCAGGCTGGAGGCAGCGAGCTGGGCGGCGACGCCGTAGCCATGCTCGGCGGGGGCGGCGCTGGGGCTGGGCAGCTGCCTGGTAAGGGCGGCGGCCTCCAGACCCAGGCTGGGCTGGTCGGGGTGTTCGGTCACCAAGGGCACGGCCCCAGGATGCCATATTCGGTTGTCCAGGTGGGGTCCCCTGACTGGCACCCTCAGGCGTCGGCCCCAGTGTACGGCCTGCATGCCGGCCATCATGACGGACCCAGGATGTCAGATATGGTTGACCAGGTGGGGTGTCCTGACTGGCAACCACTGGTGACGGCCCCAGGGCACGGCCTGCACGCTGATATTTGCAACGTTCCTTTGCAGGGCCAGGCCCCAGATGGGCTGGTCGGGGTGTTCGGCCATCAAGGGCACGGCCCCAGGTCGTCAGATTCGGTTGACCTGGGGGACCCCTCCGAAAGGCAGCCACGGGCGTCGGCCCCAGGGTACGGCCCAGAGGGAGGGGCGGAGGGATTCAGCCCCTCGGCGTCGCAGCCTCTCCCTCGCATGTTAGAGCCGTTCGGCGCCTCCCTGGACGTGAGCGTCCAGCTGGACTATGGGTTCGCGTCTCTTGAATGCCTGGAAGCGTACCCTGCGCGCTGTCCAGCGCGCCCCGCGCGGAGCTCGAGCCCCCCGCTCGCTCCGCCCCCTCAGCCGCAGGACGGAGCCGACCGCCTGCGGACCCCAGGCGCGACGGCCACCTCGGCCGCGCGACCGCCCCCGCCCGCCAGGGCGCGCACTCCGATGGCTAAGGGGTGTCGGCTGACCATGGTCAACGCGACGTCGTGGGGGCGCCTGGGCGACTTCCAGCAGATGGCCGACGGCGCATCGACGCTGGCGATGGCGGCGCAGGAGCATCGCCGCCTGCATCGCGACCTGGCGACGCAGCAGAAGGCTGCCACGGACGCGGGCTGACGTGGAGTCTGGAGCGCGGCGACCCTTTCACTTACCCCTGCCTCGGGCACGGTGGGAGGAGTAGCCGTCTTGGCCCCGACCTCCATCCAGGTGACGGCCCCCCCTGGACGTAGCTCGCCTGAGTTTGTGCCAGGCAGGCCGGTGGCAGGACCTGTGCGAGCTGCCTCTCGCCCAACAACTTGGGCCTCCTGTGGCAGCTGGCGCAGTGCCCCGGGCAGCTGGAGGCGGAAGGGCACCACTGGGCGGTCATGGGCCATTGGAACATGGGGCCGCAGGTCCTGGACATCGGCTGGATCACGAAGCTGCGAGCCGCGGTGCGGGCAACGAGTGCGCCCTCGTGCAGGCAAGGCGGCGGCTCTCGGATCGACTACTTTGTGTTGGCCAAACGCATGTAGGGGCTCTCCAACCAGCCGGCCCAGCTGGACCTCGGCGCCAGCACTTGGCCACGCTGGCCCGTGCACCTGGCCCTTGTTCAGCTACCGGCAGACAGCTGGCAGCGGGTCTTCAACGAGCCGAAGCCTATGCCCAAGGAGGCAGCCCTCCCTGGCTGTGCACGTGCGCCCTGGCGCTGGGGGGGGGGTCGGGAGGGCCGTCGCAGCGGTCGGCGGCGACGCGGGCTTGCAGGGCATCTGGGGCCCCCCCCCCATGGGCATCGAGACCGAGATCTTGGCCAGGAGGGCCCTCGTGGGGGAGGAGCACGGGCGCGCAGCGGGCAGGGGCGCAGGGGGTGCCGCCGAGCTCGTTTGGCGCAAGATCTCTGAGATCTCCTGGCGGGCCCCGCGCAAGAGGCACGCGCGACCCCCCCAGGCGCAAGCTTGGGCAGCGGCGACGCAGTGGGCTCTCTACCTCCCGGGCCAGCACGGCCGTCTCACCAAGGCGCTGCACGCGCTCCGTAGCGAGCCCACGGCCAAGATGCGCCGCCCCAGCCCGCTGTTGGAGAAGCGCCTGGCCGCCGGGGGCGCAGCCGTCGCCGCGGTGCACGACCTCCTGCAGAGGGTGGAGGACTATGGCCACTGGGCCCGCCTGCCTGTCTGGGCCCGAGCGCCCTTCCAGAGAGGCGGCGACGCGTTCCAGGGCGACGACTGGGACAAGAGCCTCAAGAGCATCGTGGTCGAAGGGAAGAAGAAGGAGAAGCTGGACTCGCAGGTGGCCCAGGCGCGCTGGAAGGGTTGGACCGACCAGGCCTTCACTGGAGGCGCAGGGGCCGCGCGCGCCACCTCAAAGGCCCCCGCCTGCCAGGAGGTAGCGCAGGCCTGTGATGGGGGCGACGGGGATGCCATCGTCGAGCGCGAGCTGCGACCCTGGGAGGACATCTGGAACTACCACGGCCTCAAGCAGATGCGCCTGCCCGTGGACGCAGGCGTCTGGGATCACCTTGCCCCGCTCGAGCGACGCGCCGTGCGAGACGTGATCCGCTCCTTCCAGTGGAGCACGGGAGTCGGGCAGTCGGGCATCCCGCCCAGGGCACTGGGGGGCATCTCGGACGAGGCCGTCGACGCGATGATTGCGGTCTTCCACAAGTGTGAGGACTTGATGCAGTGGCCGAGCAGCCGCCTGGTCAATGTCATGGTCAGTCTCCGAGCCTGATGGCGGCAGTCGCCTGATCGGGCCCATGCCGACGCTCGCCGCGCGCGCCGCCCGATCACCAAGGCTTGGGAGCAGGCGCACCCCTCGGACCTCACATGGGGCGCGGGGCCTAGGCGCTCCAGCTCCGGCCCGGCGTGCGACCTCAACCTGGCCAAGGAGCAGGCCAAGTTGGCGGGCTGGGACTCGGCGGAGGCGGCCCTCGACCTCTGGAAGGCGTACGAGATGGTGGCGCCAGAGGCGCAGATGCAGGAGGCCCGCGCGATTGAGCTCCCGCTGCGCCTCACCTGGATGCTGCTGTCCACCGACCGCTAGCCCCGCACGCTGGCGGCTTTCAACACGATGTCGCGTGCCGTGGTGGCCTGGCAGGGGAACATCGCGGGGCGCGGGCACGCCAACTCGCTGCTGCTGGTGCTCACGCTGCGGGCGCTTCGGAGGGCCCATGCCATTGCCCCCACCGTGCAGCCGCGCGGGCTGGCGGACGACGTTACGCTCGCCTGGGCGCGGCCGAGCGCGGGGCACAGCAAGGACCTCGCCAACGCCCTCGGCAGCTTCACGGCCAGCGTCGCCGACCTCCCAGCAGCTGCGCCCCGCGATGCAGCGGCAGGGGCTCCACGAGAAGGTCTGGGCCCGCAACCTGGGCCACGAGCTGCACGGGCGCAAGGTGATCCGCACCCAGGAGAAGCGAAGGCTTGCCTCCCTGATGGACAGGGGGCGGCGGCTGGCCATGCTCAGGCGGGCGGCTGGCAGGCGCGCGGCGGCCCTGGTGGCCACGGGCCTTTCGCCCTCTGCGGGCCATGGTGCAGGCGTGGCGGGCCTGGCTGACCGCCCACTCGCCCAACTGCGCACCCTGTCGGCGGCCGCTGCGGGGGCCAAGGCTGGGTGCGGGACCGCGGCGGTCATGCTCCTGCAGAAGCGCGTCGGCTACGACCCGATCTACGCGGCCACGGTCCGCCCGGTCGTGCGCCTTGCCAGCCGCATCGGGGAGGGCATCGGCCCCCCCGCCACTCTCGCCGCCAGCTGGGACAGCCTGGCGGCAGTGGCCATGGCAGGGGCCAGCGCCTATGGGCCCTTGGCGGCAAAGTGGCTCTCCCTCGAGCGCATCGGCTGGAGCATGCAGTCGGTGTGGGCGCTCAGGTCGGACATCGGGGAGCTGCGCTCCATGTTGCACACCGCGCCGCGGGGCATCAAGGACGCCCTGGTCGAGGGCATCCAGAGATGGCAGTGCCGCCGAGCGGTGGGCCACCTCCCTGAGAGCCAAGGGGAGGCGCTGCGGCCACGCGCGGCACGGGCAATCGCGCAGCGTGCAGGCGGCCGCAGAGAAGGGGGCGCTCCAGGCGCTCTGGTCAGGCGGCCACTACACCAACGTCTGGAGGCACAGCCATGGGTTCACGGACACCGAGGTGCGCCACGCGTGCGGCGAGGCGCGCGACACGCTGATGCATCGCTGGCGCTGTTGTCTCGTGGTCATGGTGCCCATGGACGACGGGCTCGAGCAGGAAGAACCGTTCCGCAAGCCGCTGGGGGCAGTCCACCAACAGATGCACGAGGCGGAGCAACGCTGGACCGTCGGCGACAGCTACCTGCCCGTTCTCGCGCGGCCTTCCGCTGCTGCCCGCGCTACCGCCTGCAGCGCCCTCGGCTCACTCGGTCATCGGCTGGGGTGCTGGACGCGTCCCCTGGCCGCCGGTTGTCTACACAGACGACCCGGGCCACGCCTCCAAGGCCCCCGAGGCCCGCTGGCGCGGCTGGGCAGTGCTGGCCTTCAGGCCCGATGGGTTCCAGCTAAAGGCTGCCTGTGGCCCGCTCCCAGGTGCAGTCCAGACGGTGGGGCGAGCGGAGCGTTTCGCCTGCCTGGCCCCGCTGCGGCAGCGAAGGCCGACAAGCCTCATCGTCAGCGACCTCCAGTCACTCATGACGGAGGGCAACTCCTGGAGCCCAGATGCGGCGTCGGCACGTGGGCGACATGCTGGCATCTGGGGGCAGCTGCACGCTGCAGCAGCAGCCCGCGCCGTGCCCCCGCCGCGGTTCAGGTGGGCCCCTGCCCACCGCACGCTGGAACAGGCGATCGAAGAGGGCATCAGGCCGCTGGACTGGCTGGGCAACTGCTGGGCGGACTTCTTCGCCAACTTGGGCGCGGCGGAGATCAAGCTGCCCGACAGCGCCACCGAGGCGATCCATGCGGAGCTTCAGCGGGCGCTGGACACGGCAGACAACCTCGGCTGGGCTGCGGCCAGGATTTGTCAAGTCGACCTGTGGAGGCCACCGGGCGAGGATGGGGAGCTCAAGCGGAAGTTCGAGCCGAAGCTGCTGGCGGGCCCGCAGCTCAGCCTCACGCGCCGCGGGTACCAGACGGTGGGGGTAGGCGGGGTACAGTGCATCCGCTGCGGGCGGGAGGCCAACACGGACAAGGCTCGGTCCCTCCTGGACTGCAGGCCGCGCCAGCCTCGCGCCTTGGCCAGGTGAGAGCGGCGAAGAGCCAGAGCGCCGTTGGAGCGCAGAGGCTGGCGAGCTCAGAAGCGGCCAACCTGAGCTTGCAGGTGGCGGACTTGGTTGAGACGCAGGTGGCGCAGGAACACCCTGCGGCAGCGGCGGCGACGCGTCGGAGAGGCGAGACGGGACGGACACCGTCGGAGGCCTCCGGCGAGGGAGAGGGGGGGGGGAAGACGGGGCGCGCACCGTCGGAGTTCCCGCAGCAGCCTACCCTGAGCGAGCCTAACCCTACTCCTTCATCCCACGTCGCCCGCCAGCTGGGACCTGCGTCCGTGGAGAAGGCGCAGTACCTGCTGGCAGCGGCCAAGGGGCCTGCGCTGACCAAGGGCCCAGGCTCGGCGGGCAGGCCCCCGCAGGTGGCCGCGGCTGGCACTCCCCAACTGGCCCGTTCTTCAGGGTTGGGGGCAAGAGCGACAAGCGGACCGGCTCCAGCGTCGTGCACGGCAGCCTCCACTTCGGCGACCCCCCCCAGCCGCGGGTAACGACAAGTTCGCCGTGCAGGCTTGGGACAGGTCGGGAGACCTGGAAGACGTCCTCGCGCAGCTGGCGTCTTGGTGAATCACGGACTTGGCGGACCAGAGCCATGCGTATGCGTGCTGGCTGCAGGAGTGCGTCGATTACGTGTACAGGCTGCTCGGCGAACCTGCTTTCAGTGGGTTTTCCATTACATCAGCGAAGACAGGTTGGCTGCAGAGAAGCGGCGGGAGGCTCAGGTGTTCTGCGAGCGAGGCCGGCAGGACGGCGCCCCCTTCCGCGAGGCCCACATCGACCAAGCGCAGCAGCTGGAGGGCGAGGCGTTCAGGGTGCGGGTCCACCAGTTCCGCGGCTACTTGGCGGCGGGGCGGGCCTTCCTCTGCGACCGCGGCAACGCCTTACACGTTGGGGCGAACCGCCAGCGCTTGCACACCCCCGTCCTCGAATCGCCCACTTCGGAGGCCGACGAGGACGTCTGGGTCGACCTAGACGACGATGACATGGAGCTCATCAGGGGCCTGCAGGCGTCGGACTTGGAGGCCACGCGCGCGCGCAGGGAGCAGGGCGAAGCCGCCGGCCGCGGGGGCGAGGCCCAGCGGAACCGCTCCCGCACGCCACCGCCTGGCAGGGGTGCGCCCGCGGCACTGACACCGCAAGGCGGCCCGCCACGGCCGTTGCCGTGGCCTGGGGCTGATGACGAAGGTCCCAACCGCCGCAGGCGCTTGGCGTGGACGGTGGTGAGGCCAGCAGGAGGCGCAGCACTCTGCCGCCCGAGAGCGAGGGCGAGATCTTGAACATCAGCTCGCCTGACGCCCGCCGATGGGCCCACCGCCACCGGCGCCAACCTGCGGGGCCGCCGCCTGACGGCGAGGGGGGCGGTTCGCCCCCCAGCAGCAGCTCCACGTCGGTGCTCACGTCGCTTCAAGGCCTGCAGCTGCTGAGGCACACCCTCATGGACTTCGCAGCGGTCCGGATCTTCGACCTGCGGGGCCCCGACGGCGCGGAGCGCAGCTGGCTGGCTTGGGCAGCGAGGTTTGCCATGGCGTGGCTGCGGCAACCCGACAATGCAGCTGCCTGCCAGGAGGCGGCCAAGGGGGCGGGCTCAATCGGGGTCCTGGCGATTGTCAAGGCGATGGTCGGGCAGGCGTGGCAACGCAAGGCCAGCGTGCGGCAGGCGACGCGCAGGCACCTGCTGGACCTGTCTTTCTCCACATGGCACCATGTAGCAGCGATGCAGTGGGCGTCCACGGGCGAAGTGGCGAGGGCCATCGAGGCCCAAATCGGACCGACCGCAGCGGCCCAACTGCCCGAGCTCTCTGGCTTCGCAGGGCCCCTGTCAGGCATCGGGCCGCGAGGCGTGCCGCCGCCGCCCAGGGCGGCCATGGTGCTGCTGGCTGCTGCGGGCCCCCCAGCCTTCGGCCAGGCTCGAGGAGCCATGACGGGCCGCGGGCACGGCCGCCCTCAGCTCCCCCTCCCGCAGCAACTGGGGCGGGCGGATTCTGACAGCGACGACGACGGCCCCGACCCAGGCGCTGCACCGTCGGGCCTCCAGCCGCCGCCGCCGGCTGGGCCACCCGAGGCGGGCGAGGGCGAGGACGTGCTACCTGGGGCGGGGGGGGGCGCAGGCCCTGAGTTTGCGCCCGCCGACGACGTCTCGTGGCACGTGGACAGATTGACAGAGGGGCCCGACTCGAGCTCGTCTTTCGGCGGGGGCGCCAACGGCACGGCAGCTGCGGGAGGCGCGGAGGCTGGCGACCCAGCGGCGGAGGCCGACATCATCGGCTTCCCGCAGTGGGCCGCGGAGGTGCCGCGCACGCCCGAGGCTGAGGGAGACGCCGCCCAGCAAGCACCCCCAGATGCTGCGGCGGCGAAGGCTGCGACGGGCCTCCCAGTGGCAGCTGCCTGCGCGCTGGCGGCGGCGGCAGCGGCCGCTTCGCTGCCGGGCCCCAGCGGTGGCTTAGATGGGGCGCGGCCTTCCCCTGCGGCGGAGCGGCGCTCGCGCAGCCCCCAGCGGCAGCAGGGCGGCAAGACGCCGCAGGGCGAGGTTGCCCAGCGTCGACCTCGGCCACAGCATGCGCGAGGCGGGGCAGTGCGCCTTCTGCTGCAGGCGCGGGGCCTTCGCCAAGCTGCGGGGGGCGGACCGCGCCGAGGGCCTGAAGCAGAGCTGTGGCGGCCGCCCCCCGCAGGGCGCGCAGGTCGCGGCGGGGCAGAAGAAGAAACGCCCGTGCCCGAGCCGTCTGCTCGGCAGGCGCGACCCCATACACGGAGAAGCCGCTCGGCTGACGACGGGCAGCGGCTTCCTCCTCGCGGCCGCGGGCCGCCGCGGCGCGCCTGGCGTGCCGCCCTGGCTGCGCGCCGGCGGGCCCGCCTGCCCGCCGCCGCCGGGCGCCCGGGGCCGCGCGCCTGGCCCCTGCGGCGACGCTGGCTGAGGGGGCGCGCGGCCGCTCGACGGCCGATGGCCGAGCGGCGGGCTGGGGCTCGCCGCCCCGTGGCGCGGGCTGGCGGCGCGAGGCTGCCGCGCCCCCGCGGACCGACGCTGCGCGCCAGCGGCCGAGCCTCGACTCGCCCCCCCCCCCACCCCCCACCCCCCCCCCGCGGGCCGCGCGAGGGTGGCGCGAGAGAGAGAGCGAGAGAGAAAAGACGATAGAGAGAGAGAAAAGAGATGAGAGGAGAGAGACCCGAGAGAGAGAGAGAGGAGGATAAAAGAGAGAGAGGGGGGAGGGAGGGAGAGAGGGAGAGAGGGAGAGAAGGAGAGAGAGAGAGAGGGAGAGAGAAGAGCGAGGGAGAGAGAGAGAGAGAGAGAGAGAGACAGACAGAGAGAGAGAGAGAGGCAGAGGGAGAAAGAGAGAGAGAGAGAGACAGAGAGAGAGAGAGGGAGAGAGAGAGAGAGAGATCGACATATAATAAGAAAACCAGGAATCGAAATGCAGAGAGAGGGAGAGATAGATAGAGAGAGAGAGAGACAGAGACAGAGACAGAGAAAGAGACAGAGACAGAGACAGAGGGAGGGAGGGAAAGAGAGAGAGAGAGAGAACGGGAGAAAGAGGGAGAGAGAAAGAAGAGAGAGAGAGAGAGAGAGAGAACGGGAGAAAGAGGGAGAGAGAAAGAAGAGAGAGAGAGAGAGAGAGAGAGAGAAATATCAGACAAGCAAACGGGAGTCCCGTCGACAGCCGGCTACTGCGGTTGCCGAGGCCGCCATGGCACGTGTAGCGGTGGTGCCCACCTTGGGGTGCGGGAGACGTTGAAACGACCACCCCCCGGCGCAAAGCGACTAGGGTAAAAAGGCGGAGTGCTGAACAGGCGATGCGCCACGCCTCTCGGCGCCCCGCGGCGGAAGGGGCCCCGGTCGGCAAAGCCCTTGTTGGCGGCCAGGGGACACGGGCTAGGCCGCTGAGCGGCTTCCGGAAAACGGTGCGTTCCCCGTCCCCGCGGCCAGACACCGATGACGCGTGGCCGCGCGGGGAATCGGGCTGGCAGACAGAGAGAGAGAGGGAGAGGGAGAGAGAGAGAGAGAGAGAGAGGGAGAGGGAGAGGGAGAGAGAGGGAGAGGGAGGGCGAGAGAGAGTGAGAGAGAGAGAGAGGGAGAGGGAGGGGGGAGGGAGGTAAAGAGAGAGAGAGAGAGAGAGAAAGAGAAAGAGACAGAGAGACAGAGGGAGATAGAGAGGGAGGGAGAGAGAGGGAGTGAGAGGGAACGAGAGGGCGACACCGATGCGGAAGCGCGTGTCCAGGCCGGCAGGGGGCAAGGGCCTGCCCAGCCCGTCCGTTCAGGGCTGGAGAGACAGCGCGAGCAAGGTCGCCGTCGAGGGCGCCAAGAGATGTGCGCTTCGCGGTTAGGCTCCGATCCCTCATCCTCCTCGTCTCCCATGGGGGGCGCCTTCGAGGGCGCGAAGTGATTCGCGATTCGCGGTTCGGCTCTGATTCCTCCTCATCATCCTCTTCTCCCGGGGGGCGGCACAAAAGCAAGCAAGCAAGCCAAATATTGAGTACGAAACGCACATGAGCACATAGCCACTACCACGTGGTATTGCAATACGTGCTGACTGCGACACGCCACGCCGTGGCCGAAGAAATGGTGTCTTGTTAGAGCGCCGGAAGGGCCTCCACACCCCCATCTGCTTCGCAGGCGTGCCTGTAAACTTCCTGGGGCCACGTTGCTCGTGGTCGCCATCTCTTTCTCTTGGTGGGAGGGGGGAGGAGGGGGAGGGAGGAAAAGGGCTGGAGCAATGCGCAACGCAAAGCGTCGTCACAGGGCTTTCTGGCGATTCGACCCAGAAAAAGAAGCTGTCTACGGAGGAACGCGCTGCTAAACGGGCGGGCGCCAGCCCGTTGAAGCACGGTTTTGTTTGGGATTTTGTTGATGTACGAGTGGGGAATGCGCAACAACTTGCGCAGACATCGCGCCTGGAATGCGTTATATATATATATATATATACGAAGTGTGCAATCAGTACAACAACTGACATAAGACGCAAGACTCAAACATCTGAATATTCTTCCGCTGCGTGAGAGTCGAATGGCTCCATACCCTGGCAAAGTTATCCGCGCTTCGCGCAGCGCGAAGCGCGAAGCCAGGCGCCCTTGGAGAGGGGTGCGGCGGGCCAAGGAGGAGGAGAAGGATGGGGTACAGCCTTGCCAGCGACACGAGCGCAGAAACGTGGAGCCCGTCGCGCCTCTTCAGCGCGCCCCGGCCCCTGCACGCGGAAGCTGCCAGAAGCAGGTCCTCGTCCCCGCGCCTTGCCCTTCTTGCTCTGCTTCCTCTCTCGTCGACTTTCCTTCTCGGCATAGAGGAGGAGGAGGAGGAGGAGGAGGAGGAGGAGGAGATGAGGAGGGTAGGAGGAGGATGAGGAGGAGAAGGAGATAGAGGGGGAGAGAGTAGGAGTAGGAGGAGGAGGAGGAGGAGAGGAGGAGGAGGAGGATGAGGAGGAGGATGAGGGAGGGGAGGAAGAAGGAGGAGAGTAGAGGTCGGATGTCGAGGATGACTAGTAGTAGGCGTAAGGTATGGAGTGCGTCGGGGGCGGCGTAGCCGGAAGGAGGTCGGAGGATGATGAGGCTGGTGCGCGCATCCGAGAGGGATGAGGAGGAAGGGACGAGCGATGCGGCTTGCACGTAGACAGACCCCCCTCCGGATTTCATTGTTGCTGAATAATTCGTAGTATACTGCAACCACCCAAAAGGGGCAGGAGGAGGAGGAGGAGGTCCCTCTCGTCGTTCCCATGTTCCATCTCGCCATCTGTTTCCTTCCCTTCCCTGCTCCTCTGTCGGCCTCCTCATCCGCCCGCTCCCGCCTGTCCCTCCTCTCCCTCGCAGGGTGTGTCGGCCGGCGGTCTCTGGAGGCCCCGGGGGGCATCGGGAGACGGACAACATGCGATCAACGTCTTCCCCCTTTCCCTCCCTCCTCGTCGTCCTCCTCCTCCTCCCCTCCTCCTTCTCCTCCTCTCCTCCTCCTGCCTCCTCCTCTCCTCCTCTTCCCCTCCTCCCTCCCTCCCGTCCCCTCCCTCCCGCCGGCCCTCCTCCCTCCTTCCTCCTCCTCCTCCTCCTCCTCCTCCTCCTCCTCCTCTTCCTCTTCCTCCATCCCTCCCTCCCTCCCCTTCCTCCTCCCCCCCCCCTCCTCTTCCTCCTCCACCCCCTTCTCTTCCCTCCTCCTTCCCCGGAGGTCGGAACACTCCCCTCCCTCCCTCCCTCCTCCTCTCTCTCCTTCCCCCCCCGACCAGCATCCGGTCAAAATCGGTCCCTTGTGCCCTGCTGGGGTCTTGCTCGGCCTGGCGTTTCATCCCAGATCGATGTTTGACGGTCTCGGGACCCGAAGTGGTCCTTCGAACATCCTCTTCGTCGTCGTCGTCCTCCTGCGCATCGTTTTGATCAAAAAACAGTTCCATGACCTCTCCAGGGGTGCGCCTTGACGGGAATTCCGCTGGGATCTCAGCTTGGGCTGCAGGAAACCTCTCGGATGCAAGAACCCTGAGAACATACGAACGAAATATTGGCGAAGGGGAGCACAACAACGTATGAAGACAAACAAAGGCTAACAAAAACAGCAAGCACGTAAAACGGGGAGGAACATCCAACAACGCGAACAGCAACATAATGCAGCCGTCGATCGTCGGACCTCGATCGTCCCTCTCCCTCTGCCCCCTCTTTGCCAAGACCACCTCAGGATATCCGAGCCTCCATCATCCGCGCTCTCGTGGAGGGCCTCACTCTCTGCGTCTTCGTGGGCACGCCCTCTGGCGGGCCCAACTTGAAGGCAGCAGCAGCCCCTGCCACTTCTTCAGAGGTAGAGAAGGAAAGAGGAGGAGGAAGAGGAGGAGGAGGAGGAGGAGGTGGTGGTGGTGGTGGTGGAAGAGGAGGAGGGAGGAGGAAGAGGAGGAGGAGGAAAAGGAAGAGGAGGATAGTGACAGAGGAGGACGGGAGGATGATGAGGAGGAGGGAGGAGGAGGAGGAGGAGGAGGAGGAGGAGGAGGAGGAGGAGGAGAAGAAGACGTTCTGTGTCCTGTCCACGTCTGTCTCCCGCCCCGTCTTCCGCCACTCTCGCGCTCTCTCTTCCTCCCTCCCTCCCTCGCCCGCCTCCTTGGGCCGCCCAGGGCCCGGCTCGCCTCTTTGGGTCTCCCGCGCTCGTCCCGCTTCTGTCGGGCCGGGCGCTCGACGCCCCTGGCCAGCGGGGGCCGTGCGGCCAAGGGTCGTCCCGAAAGGAGGGCGAAGACTGAGGAGGAGAAGTACGCGAGGGGGGAGGAGGAGGAGGAGGAGGAGGAGGAGGAGGAGGAGGAGGAGGAGGATGGGGAGGAGGGGGAGGGAGGAGGAGGAGGTGAGGAGAAAGGAAGGAGG